TATGTAGCCCCGATCTTAACCTTTTCCACGTGATTTCTGCTACCACATAAATTTGTGATGTACTAGCCAAGATGAACAATCACAGAAAACAAGCTTTGTTCGCTACCTTCTTCGTTCTCATGACTACAACGGGTATATTCAGCCCCTTGAACAGAAGTGGTAGTTATATGGATACGATTGTGTTTTGGCTGGATTTAATTTAACGGCCTGAGGAAAGAATCCGAATGTGCACCACAGGCTGATTATGGTAAACGACTTACAGTAACGCTTTTTATCGTGTGATTTTCCATCCTAGTGTACTTCAAAATCCGATCAGAATAAACCAAAGTGTGTAATCCTTACAGACCGGCAATGTACATGCGCTAGTTGGATGGGTGGTAGTGTGAGAAAAACGTTTGCGGGGACACGTCGAATTGTTTGAAAGTTCCTCATGGTTCATCTGGACGAAACAAGTATCAAAAGCGTATCATGTGACCACCATGTGCATATTTGGTGGCAACTCAGTGCGCATAGTGGACAACTCAATGCTACAGATATTTCACCTTTCATTGTTGTTGCACAGGGTGAATCATAGTTTTGGGGCAAGTCTGAAAGTTGTCACATGACGGTCGGAAACGGCTATGCATCATCAAACACCTTATAACCGATCGGTGGCTCTTTTTTGGCGTTAAACCACCAAATCACTATAGTGTGTGGGATTGAGAAGAGAGCTAAGGAATTATGCAGCAAAAATGTTTGGTTTTGTGGAGTCTCTGCAACCAAGCAAAACTATTAACCAAGATGAGGAGTATTCAATAAGTGTTCACATTCGTGCTACCGCCCTGCTCCCCATTCTGATTCAGGCAGTTTTGCTGAGCAAGGGGAACTCCGAGGGTTTCGCGAACTCAGTGAGTTCACGTCCTAATCTCGATCTATTTGTTCCGATGACCATGTTTTCAAGTATATATACAGCACGTGCCACATAGAACTTGACGAGGAACACGCGCTGTCGAAAGTTAGGCGGCCGTGCAGGGATTGCCGTTCTTGGTATCCTATGGTTAACAGATGCATATAAAGGCGACTGATCTGAGATTCCGGAGTGCCACCCCAAGGTGAGTAGTTAGTGTCAATACACATACTTTCGATTTACCTCCGCCCTCGTGAATCTGACTGAGGTATAACAGTAAACTATTTCCTCCCATGTACCTCTTTCAGATAACCACCTATTGGTTATATGGAGGGTTCTCAAAAGGAGGGGACACCACGTTCAAAATAAGAAAATAATAACAAATAATAGCTAAATAATAAACAACGAAGAGTATGTATGAGTAAACAGGAAATCTGTCTCTGTCATTCAATAAAGTAATGGGCGGAATCCAGGGAAATAGACCTTAACAGGAACCATTTTTCCCATTTTGATAGTGATATCACATAATGGGAGACCTGTGGTAGTTTGCATAGTCGCAGATTCGTAGTCAAAAAGGGCACAACGTAGTTCTTAAAAAGCCTGGTTCATGAAAGTAAATTGGCGAAAACATAGGCAGTGTATATAGGACTGTCTCTATCAGTTTAACTTGAGAACTGCATATCAAGTGTTCAGATTTTCGAGATTTCATCATCCCAAAGCAAACCCATCCTTTTAGGGAGAAAACTCATTGTTACACAATTCCGCTGTTTGTGAGTCACTAGCGCCGGATTCTCCGGGCAATCTGTATGTTGGGACAAAGCTTATGTGGGAGTTGACTTTCTCCAGCAGAATTCCTGTAAACAGCAATGGACAGGTACAATGAAGCGAATCGGGAGAGGAACAAATAAAGTGGGTTCGCTTGTACCGAACTTGGCATGAAACGTCTTGACATCAAGCAAGAGGGGTCCATCGGATGGCCCAACCAAAAGCCCCAGAGCAATTTCGCAGCGTAGCGAACTGAAACTTCGGTGAACCACAAGCCGACAAGGCAACCTGTCGGACTACACATCTTCACCACGTTTCGGGGAAGGAATGCATTATGATAGTTTTGAAACCATGTCAATTGATCATTCGCTAGGTCACCACTAGCATTTTGACAGTTCATTATGGCGTCGATAAGCTTAATCTGCCTGGGGTATACAGCTCACGAACATGAGAGCTATTGCTGGAAGGTTTTGAAGCGTTCCAATCAGTCACTTTGGTCACATAAATGTCTTTAGGCCTTGTAAATATGCCGCGTGTATAAAGCGAAAACATTGAGCGAGAACACAATGAAGACTACCATTGCATACACAAACGTGTAGCCTTTTTTTATTTGTAGGAAAATTTTACAGATGGGCCAAAAACAGACTGGAACGCGGTTGCTGGGGCCAACATCCACGTCCTAATCACCACGAGCCCGCGTATTCCGCGGGAAATGGAAACTGATGTAGAAAATCACGGAAAATGAACTTTTGTCGAAGAAACGCGGATTGCTGAAGTTTCAGAGAACTTAGCCGAAACCGACCCGGGTATGCTTTACTTTTTCACGTATCTGTCTGACGCTTTAAGTTCCATTGATCAATGTGGACAAGTCAAACCCAATTTTTCATCTGCCTGAGTCAGGTCAAGCCAACACACCAGCTGGTAGTTGTCAAACACTAGTGAAAAATGCAATGCCGATATCTTCAGCTCTGCCTGTCAATGTGCAAACGAAGAAGTAGCCTATTCCACTAGTTCTTAACCCTAATGTGCATTGAATGTATCGTGAAACCAAACTTGTCCTTAACTTCATCTGTGATAAACTGGGCTTCAAAAAGAGTAAGAAACAAAAGCTGACGCGACAGGGTGAGTTTAAGATTCAATAAGCAGTTGGACTATTAAACAGGTACAGTGAGGGAGAACGTACAACTTCAAAGCGACTTATGCACACTGCGGTGGTTTTCCCATCAGACATGATCACAGCGGCCATAGCATTAAGATGAAAGGATATACAAGACAAAAACTTCAAGACATATCTTTCACATGGGGCGACAGGCGAGTGAAGAAAATGTTATGATTTGGCAGATATTCAGCGCGTTGCGTCAGTGTGTCGGAACTAAGTAGTCCAACTACGATCATTTCCCTTCCCCAGTGATCCAACCGACGTTAGCGACAGCTTCATACACGATTCATTTTGCTTGTTTCTGTTTACCCAGAGACATGAACCGAGTCGAAATCCAAAAGGGCTTAGCTATGATATTTGTCGAGATTTTCTGGTAATCCAAAAGATATGCTGAAATTGGGCAATTTTCTATCTAGGTACAGACGGGTGCAGCTAAATGGAAGAGACATTTACGCCAAGGAGGGAACACTTTGGGAATTCCAGAAGGCCAAAGTGTCAGAAAGAACCGAGGACAAAAGCACGGGCACGAACAGCATTGTCAGCTAGATGTGGAACAGAATTGTTCGGCCCCAATAGTAAAATTGCAAAAGCAATCAACATCACTCAATTCGCTGTAACAGATCATGCTATAGGGTAAAAAAATCCAAGCAAAGATAACGAGGTTAAGTAATTATCAGTAAGATAAATTGCACTAGATATTTCTATGACCGCATTCCGAGCGCATTCATTCTAGAAAACGCGAATATCCATAGTTGGAATTGTCACACAATGGAATGATTTTGGTGAAACCTCTCAGAGTCCCATTTAAGGAGAAAACATCGTTGTTTATAATGTGTAGTGCTTTTCCCTGCAGCTACTTTTTTATTCACTGTATGACTGCGCACAACGTAAAACATATGTAGATTTTTCGTCAAACTCAGATTAGCTGTTCTTCGTGAGATGCGGTGCTGGTGATTTCCAGCAAGGATGAAACAGACGTACAATGCCTGTCGGCCGTTGGGCATAGATAGCATCACTTGCAGGACAACAGATCGATGGGAGAAGCATTGCTTGTTTCTTGTCCTGGCTTTTGCGCTCACCGCTTAAAGCTCTTTTGGGCATCTAAATTTTACATCTAACTTATTTCGATAAGCACCAAGAGTGGATATGATCCGAGTCACCGAATATTTGACGTGTGAGTCAGCCGTTTGCTTTCAGAAGAATTCCTTTGTGGTTTTGTTGAACTCGAAACCACGGTGATCGGCTCCTAACTGAATGCGGACAACCAACCACACCTAGGCAGCACAGACTCCAAACGTTATAAGCCTCACCAAGCTATTTGGCATTCACTCTCAACTGTCCAAAAACTGATCAAATCACCATCAACTGTCACTTTAGAAGCTGCGTCCACAACTGCTGGTCGTACTGGAGCATTTATTTGGAACCAGACACTGCTGTTATGAATGGAAATGATGAGACTTTTCAATAAAAGTCCTTTGGTGTTGCACGTTAAGTGAAACTGGGTGCGAAACCTCATTACTGGTCATCTATCCAACACGTCCTGGAACGGGTCGGAACGAAAGTTTGTGGATGCATCATCCAGCCTGAGGGAACCCTGATCATGGACCTATGTCGACAAACACACCGTTGGATGGAAACGGCTATTCTATCATCGAAACTTCTAGCGACCGTGATACACCAGTCTGATCCATCTGCTATTTCGAGAAGTATTAGAGCCCGTTAGCCTTCCAACGTGAGCCTCCCGACAGAAACGAACTATTCAAGTGTAGTGGTGTCACTCTAATGGCACAGCTGACCGGTTCACTTAACGAACTCTGGAATAGTTTATGTCCCTGCTCCTTGGTTGTAGTTTACATCTTCGAAAAAGACAGGGGAACCGACCAACCGAACCACCGAGGAATGTCAATTCAACAGAAGTTTTAAGCTGTTCTCAGTCTATGTAGATTAACCTCCGCAAACTGATGTGCCACGAAGAACAAAGCAATTTGGTTTCGTTGGACAGATCTTTGTACTGCGACAAAGCTTGAAACATCACCGCATATCTCAGAGGCCGAGCATCACAGTCTCCTGGACATCAAGGCTGCATTCGACTGGGTGGATCAAGACGTCTTGGAGAATCGTGTTCCATAAAATTATGTGCCGAAATTTCGCAGTATCTTGATGGCACTGCTTGAGAACATACAATACCACGACTACCGGCATGAACAGTTTTCATAGCCTTTTCCAATAATTACTGGAGCACATCAAGGATGTCCGGTTTCTCCGACTTCCCCAAAAGGAAGCTGATTTAGATAGGTGTTGGTGGTACGGAGCTTCTAGCCAAGAATAGTATTCATCCAAGACTAGTAAGGAGAAGACATTAAACCAGTCCAGTCCATTCTGGACATACTATTGAAAGGAGCAAATTGATTCGGCACGTTTGTCATCATCCAAGTACAAAGTGCCCGTGCCTTTGATTAATTTTATCCAATGCGTTGAATATTTCAGCCTCTAGTTGACAAGCAGTTATATGTTCTGAATAAGATGAAAACAGCCGTACCGTGTCTAGTAGAAACCACCAAAAATTTTTGAAAACGGAAATTCCTTTTTAATGGATAAAGTGAATGAACAGCTAGCTTGGAGTCGGCTCTCTTCGAAGTTGGGTGTTTTGCTAATCCAACGCGTTCTACGAATCCGCAAAAAACGTGCAACTGTGGCGAGTGAAAGCTGATAGCTGAGGCATCACATTATCGATTTTGTTACATTAAACAAGCGAAAGTGTGCAATTGAGCACTTTTCTCAACTTGACCATATCCTGAAAAAAACTTTCTGCAGGACAGAGCTTCGAAGCAACTTTACAGAACCAGTCAGAAATAGAATGCTAGAAAGAGTGCGTGCTAGCTGGAAAACTTCATGGAATTCCCCGTCATTTTCATCATAAATCTGTGGTCCTAGCAACGAATAACATAGGGATAAGGCACTTGGAAAGTAGGTAGTAAGTGTCACAAAGATATTTGACTCACCATTTGGCACGTCGCAAATGAGCCCTGACATAAGAGGGGTCTAGAGCAATTGCTTGGTTACAGTCCTCCAGCGCCGTTTCATACTTTCCTAACTAATCAATAAAAGGGGAGGGAGATAAAAGTTCAACGTGAGTAGAACCAAGTGGAAACTAACATTATAACCGGCACAAGCCCTGTTGCAAAGCAACTTGGCATTCATCGCGTCATGCAGAGGATCGATGGTCAGTGCATCTGTATAGGCTTCATAAGCCTTGGAATAGCGCCGCTCGTGAATATATCTGTTTCCCTCATCTTTCAAGCGCAAAAGAGTTTTACACCGTTTGAAAGATTGTTGTGTTTCTGTATGGTCCGGGTGAAGACGCAACACGTGTTGAAAATGGCTTACAGCTTTGTCCAAGTGATCCAAATAGAAAAGACAAAGTCCTCGATAATACAAAACCTCAACAGAAGCCGGATGAGCTCTCAAAATTGCCCTAAAATGGAGCGATAAGCAAAAGCGAGTAAATCTTCCTACTCAACATGTCGTTTGGCCTCGGAAACACGCTTTAGTCGAATCAGCAAGTCCACCTTCTTCAAGTTGTAGTCCAACGACCCAGGAGCCATATCAATACACTTGTTTATCAGATGGAGGGCCTGTTTGAATTTTATAACAAACCGGAACAGAAACACACATAACGTAAGTCTGGGATAGCAAGCTGGTGCTCATAAGATTCGTATGTTTGTTGAAGCAAATCAAGCTGATGAGCCTGAGGACTAGTAATAACGTGGAAAACGTGATACCTGAGACGAAAACTCTGTGTTGGTGGGATCCAGTTCTCTGATGAGCGAACAAACTCTCCTAGCATCCGCAACTTTGCCAAGACATATACAGCATTTAACGTAGCGGATCAGAGCTTTGCAATATTGCGGATTCAAATCGACACTCCTTGAGAAAGCATATGAAGAGACGGACGGAGACGAACGTACTTGCTTGCGTCCTGAAATGCCTCTTGGTATCTGGTCAACATCAAGTAGGCTGCAGCCCTGTTACTGTACAAAAGTGCGTTGCTGCCATCAACGTTGATCGCCTTAGTGTACCATTCTACCGCTTCATCATAACATGCTTTCTGATAGGCAGAATTTCCATTGGTCTTGTATTCCTCCACTAAAATCTCCTGGTCAGTCATTGGGCCTGTGAAAAAGGTGGAACATTTTGAAAGTCGTTGAAATCACTATAACTCATTAAAAACAAGCCTAACCAAACTGACCGATTGTGCCATCTTTTGGGTTTCTTGCTACTAGGCAGTGCGCGTGAAATCCGAGGAAAGAACCAGTCCGGGGAATGGCAAAGTAAGGGGCCAACCCAAACGACAGACCTGTCGTTCAACCCTTTAGTTTCTCGAACAACCAAGCAACTGGCACATAGCACATTGAAAAAGCTATTTGTAAGACGTCTGTATATTGCCAATGAACCCTATTTCGTGGGATTAACCAGCCAGAAAAAAATAACTCGGACATGCTCTCAGCTGATTTACGATTACCGCCCCCAAAAATTTGCCTTATTTAAGTGGCTATGCCTGGTTTTCTGGCGGTTGCCTGATGAGGAGTCTTCAAGATAAATGCTTTCAGCAGTGGCAAGGCCAAGAAACACTGTTTTAGGACCAGGTTGAAGTGCCATCAGAGTCAGAACTCTGTGCAGTTAAGCGTTGCAGGGTAACTCGAGAGATCTAATCGACGAGCCTACCTCAAAGCTCAATCATTAAAAACAGACTTAACATGAACAATGCCCCAAACTCTGACAATAACCCCAACCCTAACTGCGATCCCGCGAGTTTTCCTTGAGGTAACCTTCCATCCACTGGAAGTAAAAAATGCAAACATGAACTACGAAACTCCATATAAATATCGAGGTAACCTTCCACTGGAAGTAAAAAATGCTAACATGAACTACGAAACTCCATATAAATATACTAAGAGAGAAGTGGGTCCTTTGTATAGCCCGTTAATCATAAAACCCAGTTGTTTGGAGTAACGGCCCTAGTAAGGTGCATTGATGTAACTATCCACTACGATTGAGTCTAACTGATGCACCAGCAAGATTCGGAATGATTTTCAATATAAAACACAAACACAGAGCGATCAGTTAGTTTCCATAAAGAAAACAGCGATGGCAACCACATGACCACCGTAGATTATCTGGAACCCCGAAAAATGTGGTCGGAGAAACGCCTGGTATAGTGTGCGGAAACGAGACTTATAGGAAGAGTACGATCACCGCAAGGAGTAACAGAACGCGAACAACTCTCTCAAGGAATTTGAACCAAATATTTGAGTTAGACCATCCGTCAGTGCCAAATACCATCTAAGGTTTTTGCTCCCATAAACCGGACCAGTGAGTTTGCATCATCTGTAAACACAGACCCCGTTGTAATAGATGACATAGGGGAACCAACAGAACGTTGCAAACTTACACATCAACATAGACAGCAACCATGTGTAGCACTGCACGAAAATAAAATGACAGAAAGAAATCACGACGCAGAGCCTAAATGCACTGAACAGTGGTTTGATCTTGCACCTGGAAAACCCTGATCCGAATGGTCTTCGACTCACCGACTTGTGGGGATGTTATCCAGAAATATTGATAGCTATTTCAGCGGCGAACTATTGTTTGGAGATAGGTACTGTTTGACTGCCCTGAGAATCACTTTTTACACGGGAGTAAGCATGGTTCAGACAAGTGCGAGTCAGTTAACCTTAATTCAGCAATCAGAAAGGTGATGAAGGGAACAGCCGAAACGACACTAAGCGTACATACATGCAAACACCATTTCTTCCAAAGTCGTCCATATCCTAGAAAAATCCTTTCGAGCAGGTCAGGACATCTAATGAAGGAACAGATAAACAAGGCAATCCTCTTAATGTCGGCAAACCGATGGATAATGTTGAGTATCTCTGGAACTACAAGTGGACTATGGCTGATAATACCAGCGTTAGGTTAAGTCATTGAGCTGAAGTGTCTCTACTTGATTAGATAGATGTTGACCGTCGGCTCTGTGTAGTTTGTTCGGAAACATCAGCGGGAGGACCTCGAGAAAGTGAGCTATATCGCCCTCCGTTTACTGTGTCTGCCGAGGCATCGAGAGAAGTTAACTCAGAATCTGTGAGGGACCGTTGCTATGATACTCCAGGTGTTCTTTTACAATAGACTCAAACATCGTCGTGGTTGCTGGTGTCATCATTTACCGGTGGTGAGAGTGGACCACTGACTGTAATAGCTGCTGGATTGCGGCATCAGCTTGTCCGCTACTTCTTTCCATTGAAAAAAAGCAAAACACGCACGCCTCACTCGGCCACTGAGTCGTCCACAGGCCCGGAAATCAAACGAAACTATCATAATCGGCTCCCTTTTCCTTCAACGCCAGTCAGGTGGTCCAATATCGAACGATAACAGACATTGGAGACAGATATTCGAAGCCAGAACTTCGACCTGTGGTGAACATAGCCAGCCTCATCCACACATTGAAACTCTGGAGGGGGCCCGGCGAGAGGTTCTTTTTGATGGAGACCACAACTCAACCCGACGCCAGGTGGAACTGGGTGTCTGTACAGACCGGGGAACTCGGAGGATTCAGGAGGCAAAGAACTTAGAGAATATGAAAAATGACCAAAATGTTCGCAAGTTGTTCCCTTTGATCCGTTCGATTGGTTCTTGGTCAACTGGTTCTCTTGTCAACGAAATTACCGAGGACTAAAGCGACTATGTAATATCCAACAAAGGAGAACGTTTGGAGCGTTTGGCACAATACTTCGAACAATAGTTCAGCTAGCTACCTGCTACCTTCAATCCGGACTGTCCGCCCATAACAGAAACAGTGACTGTGGATATGGAACCCCTTTCAGGCTCAGGAGTGTTCTAGTGCATGTATCTACCTGAGGGAAAGACCCGTAGTGATCGCAAGGCTGCCAGTCTGACTCTCACTGCAACTAGGTTTCTGGAGCGAAGGACTTTTCGTGCTACGGCTCTACGCAAATTCTTGACTCGTGAGTATCAAGGGGTATTTTTACCGGGTAGAAGCTGACAGGGGTGAGATGGCTCAGTGGTTATAGCGGAAGGTCCGTGGTTCGAACCCGGCCTCTGCCTCTCGACTTCTCCTGTTCCATTCGGCAAGGTTTTCGTTATCAGCTATTCAAACACAAGGGTTTTGAGGATCTTCAAGTGTTCTCACCATCTCTTTACTCATAAAATAAAATGGGAATATACGGCAGTGATGCATTAGTGGGACAAGATGGCTCAGTAGTTAGGGCGCGAATTTATTGACCGGAAGGTCCGTGGTTCGAACCCGACCGCTGCCTCTTGACTCCCCCTGCCTTGGCTTGGGCAAACTGGCAGTATCCCAGCCTTCGTGCTCCCATCAGATGGCACGGCAGCCAGGCACAGAAAAAGTGTTGCAGCTGATTTTTTAGAGGCTTCGTCGACATCACACTCTGTGAAGTGTTGGAGTGACGGCACATGTACAGACGACCCACGATCCTGGTGTTCATTAGTGGTAAGGGTGCGTTGGATTCTGCGGTCGGTCAGTGTTCTCAATCACATCTGTTTAAAAGGAGATGACTGTGAACTTTGTGAACATAATCTGGTGTATGGTGAGCTATCCAAAAGCCTCCATAGAGGAAGACGACCCACCTGGTGTTCATTAGTGGTAAGGGTGCGTTGGATTCTGCGGTGGGTCAGTGTTCTCAATCACATGTTTAAAAGGAGATGACTGTGAACTTTGTGAACATAATCTGGTGTATGGTGAGCTATCCAAAAGCCTCCATAGAGGAAACTTTTTCCGAGGGAAATGTCTAATGTTGTTTAACTTTGTAAATGATGAAATAATGAGGCAAAAGCTCGAAGTTCTTCAAGCCACCGGTGTTCAAACCGCTTCTGCAGAGAACCTTGTGGATCTGCAGTCATCACCAACATCACTGACAGCAACACCAGGGGAGAACACTGGTACTTTGCTGCCGTGCAACCATGTTAATTCACTTCAATAAAGTGTTATAGTGGAAAGTAATGGGGTGTTGGGGAGGACCGAGGCTAGCCTACAGCGAATATCAGATATGCCTCCACCTCCAGCACCCATTCAGCATAGAAACTGACAGAATGAACGCCAATGACATCAGCCAAACGCCACATAGTTCAGCGTCTCTAGTCAGATAGGGACACGTGAACCCCATCCCGAAGGGCGAACAGCACAAACAGCACCCAAACTTTCTGCAACACTTTTTGTTCCCTCCAAACCCGTCAAATTCCGTCCAACTCTAGGTTTCAGCTACTCCAAATTAGGCACGAAAAAAAAAAGTCGCCTTGACGTAAGTCGACATGCGTGATACATGAGTGAAGTATCCTTCGCTTCCCCAAAGGCTGTATTTTTATCACCTCATTCCAAATTCGTTGGTTCCAAGTGATTCCAGTCCTAGTTCTGAGGAATCGGTCGTCGAAAACCAGAAGACAACTCGGGACGAAGTTGAACAAGGACTGGATATCCTTGTCGGACACCATATTGTATGGAAGCCATTAGAGAGCTGATCAAGCTTTTTTCAAAAAGTTGACTACAGGGGATATAGAAGATGAGCTGGCATTTCGTAAGATGCGGAACCGCTACAAATCAGAAATCCGCCAATGGAACATAGGAAAACAAGCCACCATCCTGGACCTCGCTCGAAAAAACAAAAACGTATTGTTCAAATACATGGGACATCACCGCAGAGACAAGCCATCCGCGTTCCCCTGGAGGGACAGAAATGGATAACCGACGAGTGACCCCAACAGTGGTATCCGAGCTTTACGGAGAGCACTATGTGTGACTATACTCAGCCCCAGCGTCCTCGTCACACCCACTCTTGTCAAGGCGGAACTACGAACAGCCTCTAACCGACGTGGTCTTCACGGTGGAGGACATTCGTCAACTCTTGCACAAGATCAACCCATTCTGCGCGTTGGAGCCTGCAAGAATCCTACAGGAAACGTCGTCCACACTGACAAATAATTTAAACCTGGTGTTTCATCGGTCGATTGACGAAGGCCGCCATCCCTCAGTTTGGAAGGAAGTGATTGTCACGCCAATCTACAAAACTGGTGATCGACTATCGCCTGCTAGCTACAGGCCTATAAGCCTCACTAGCGCGCCGTGCAAGGTGATGGAA